TAGTTATTATATTTATTATTATTATTAATAAAATTGATAACATATTTTTTCTTATTTTTGGAAATAACCATTTATATTCCTAATATGAGCGGTCCATTAGTTACATTAGCTGCCAAACTGAATGCTAAGTGAAAATTTTTATGCGGCATGCAGTGTCGTTACATATTCCACAAAGAAATTACCTCAACAAAACTTGCATGCCCTACAAAGATCTATTTATACAGGCGTACATCATTAAATGAAGCTGCATAACTGTCACTGCTGTAACTTCCACTTCAGAAGTTTGTGCTGCTACTGAGTTCTTATCAATCGTTAGAAGAAATTAAAAAATATGGGATTTGAGAGGACTCTATGCCGAATTTTGTAAAGATCGGTACAATGATTCAAAATCTGAGAAGATGGGCTCGCACACTCACAAACACTCACACGCAAGCACACGGAAACGTTCTCTCTGCCCGGAAATGAGTTGTATACAGCGATCGAACTAGACAAAACCTATAACGTGAAGAAGGTAACATTCTCTCTGATTAACTAATTAAGCACTGCGCCATGAAGGCGTAAGGAGAGTGGATGTATAGATCCACAGTTTCTTGACCTCGGCACTAGCTGGAGGTGAGTGGTCAGCTTCACGCCCCTGCCGCTTTACCTCCGGAAAAGAGCCCCTAGTATCCATTGTGTAGGAAGTTGGGTGGAACCCAGAGCAGGAATGAACGACGTGGAGAAGGGAAAATTCTTGACCTACTGGAACTCGAACTCCGAACCCTCGGTCGTCCAGCCCGTAGCCAGTCACACTATAGCGACTACGATATCCTGGTTCTAAAAAATCCCAACAGCATGTGGTGTTCCCAAGCGGTCACCCACCCAAGTACTAACCATGCCCAACGTTTCTTATCTTCGTTGATATAAAAAGAGCCGATGTTTTCAACATGGTATTGCCGTTGGTAAACAAAACACTTTATGGTTAGTTTTGAGATTGATTTTTACCACACGTAAACTATAAACCGAGACTAAAATTTTGTGATATACAGAATTCAGTTCGCATACTATGCCTATAGGAACTTACCGAACACTACGTTAAATTTCTAAGGTAAAGTAAAGCAACCAGTAGGTATACTGCGTTTTAATTATTTTATTTTATTTATATAGGATTTCAGAGTTTATAAACTTATTTCCCAGGATAAGTGTAATATTTTTTGCGATATGAAATAGATGAATCGATCTATCTATGTATCTATGGCTCTACAGCCCTTTGTTGGGCCTTGGTCGCTCTTCAGTTTCTTACTCCTATACGCAGTCGCCAGGACTCCTTCGATGGGGGATCAGCCTGTCACAAGGCTGTTACCTACACGCAGAACAACACCAACACAGAATATACGCAGAGACATAAATGCCTTGATTTGGATTCGAAAACGATCCCAGCGTTCTAGCGAGCGAAGACAGTTCATGCGTTACGAGTACATCTCACGGCCATTGTGATCGGCTGTGGATATTACGTACCTTTAAACGTCCTTATCAAGTAGGCTACCTGCTCAAAATTACGTGTAATTCTAGTTGCAGGCCCAGCCTATGTATGTATGTTTGGGCTGGGTTACTGTCGATAGCGAGGGGAACGCAACAAACGCTCGCATGCCTGCAGGCCAGGTTGCATGTTAGCCTGTCAGTCAATATGCATGGCTACTGCTCAGCAGATCAGGCTGCGGTCTGGTTACGGTCGGTCCGGTGGTCTAATTGGAGGCAGGTGGAAACCCCCGCAGTTCAAGACAATGAATGTGATGAACCAACGAAACACACACACGACGCCCTAAAGGCGCCGTCTATATCGACGTAGCTCATACCTCAAATTAAACAAAAGGGAAACCATCCATATTATTATTATTATTATTATTATTATTATTAGTAGTAGTAGTAGTAGTAGTAGTAGTAGTAGTAGTAGTAGTAAAGTTTTGGATGTCCAGGGTTCGATTCCTGGCAAGGGGCAAGAGATTTTTCTCTTCTCCACAGCGTCCAGGCCGGCTTTCGGACCCACCCAACTTCCTATACGTTGGGTGCCGCTAGCTCTTTCCACGAGGATAAAGCGGCCGGGACGTGAAGATAACCACTCATCTGGTGCTGTGGTGAATAATGGTGGATCCTACTTCCATTGCCCTTAACGTCTTCATGGTGCCATCCTTAATTACTTGGACAAATGCTTTTACTTCATATTTCTTGCCTNTTTCCTTTGTTGTGTAAGGTGGAAATAGTAGTATTTCCTCTGTCCTGTTCCCTATATTGGCCCTGTGGATGTTGTTTTTGTGCTTTTCTTTGTGTGTAATATAACTATTAGCATCTACGCTGTTGTAATGGTATCTGCACTTTGCTTCCCCTGTAATTGGCCTCGTTGCTATAGACTAGGCACAAAAATAATAAAAAACTAAATTATTATCATTATCATGGTTAATATAAAGCATGTAGGAAGAAACAGTTCAGGATTCTTGCTGTCGTATTTTATACTAAACATTTTTCTTCCAGTCATTCAAATATTAATTGTATCTATTGTAAATTTATATATTCAATTTTTCTCAATTCTCAATATTAGCTTTGATGTATGTTAATGGTATTATTATTATTAACAACTAATACTATTCAAATAAAATTATTTTCCTAATTTTTGTGTTTTACTCTCGTGTTTATTCTGTAACTGTCCTTTGTTGTTAACTTGGCACATAAAGGAGTAAGAACTGAATGTTATTTAATTTTGCTGCTACTATTGCTACTGTTCTAACTGGTCACTAAGTTGCTGTGTCAACCCTTAATTAAATAGTTTAATTATCAACAATGACGTAATCATTTCTTTGTGTCGCATTGTTGCCCAGAATATTTCAGTTCATACGCGAAGAGAATGGAGCGGTGTTTTCTACAGGCCGTAATTTCATTCGCGGACGTGTGCGTAAATTTGTTTCTATCAGGTTTCAGGGCGTCTTCTCTTCTCTTATTTATCCGCAACAATAATATATCGTACAATGTTCTCAGGTGCTCTGTGGGAACGACTGTAACTCTCTTAAAGTTTCTCTAGGAATAATAAGTTTGGTAAGCTTACTTTCTTTTCTCAAGGAAGTGGTTCAAACAAAAAAATAAAATAGGATCTGAAAATCTGTGGCGATGGTATATTAATAGAGTTATTTTTCTGGACGTTATCCATCTTCCTGATTTTTATTTAAAACACAACGTTTCTGAGACTAGAGTCTGTCTCCGTTTTCACGTGGAATGTACTCAGGTGGGCCCAATCAGTAGATCTAGTGTCTATCTCCGGATGAACCAGAGACAAGAACTAGTTCTATCGATTTATCCCACCTGAGTATGTTCCACCTGAAGACGGAGACAAGATCTAGTACCTATCTCCGGTTCGTCCTGAGATAGGGACTAGCTCTATAGTTTGGACCCAACTGAGTAGGTTCCACCTGAAGACGGAGACAAACTATAGTACCTATATGCGGTTCGTCCGGAGATAGGGACTATGTCTATCATTTGGGCCCTACTGATTCGTTTCCACCTGAAGACAGAGACATAATCTAGTGCCTATATGCGGTTCTATTAGGATTAGCTCTATCGTTTGGGCCCAGCTGAGTAGGTTCTACCTGCAGGCGGAGACAGAATCTAGTACCAATCTCCGGTTCGTCCGGAGATAAGGACTAGCTCTATCATTTGGGCCCAACTGAGTAGGTTCCACCTGAAGACGGAGACAAAATCTAGTACCTATCTCCGGTTCGTCGGGAGATAAGGACTAGCTCTATAGTTTCGGCCCAACTGAGTAGGTTCCACCTGCAAACGGAGACAGAATCTAGTACATATCTCCGGTTCGTCCTGAGACAGGGACTAGCTCTATCGTTTGGACCCAACTGAGTAGGTTCCACCTGCAGACGGAAACACTCCAATCTCCGAAACGTTGCGTTTGAAATAAAATCAAGGCGATGGATAATGTTTAGAAAAACAATATTTTTAAAAATAATAGGGCTGTGAGCATTTCGTATTACAAATCGTAACCAAATGTTTATGCCGAAGAGATTTGTAGTTTTAACTTCTTAAAAGACAGAAAGTTTTAAACGATAAGATTATTTTATTTACCGTTCACACGACTCTTTATTAGTCAAATATGAATCCTACCTAGAAATGTAGGTATAAGCCTATAGCCTATTAGTTTGGGAACTTTATTTAATTATACTGCATATGAGAGATATGGTAGAAACGCTACCTGGGAAAGGAAGCTCTAACTATTGGACTGAAAGCATACAGACAAGGGACACGAAAGAGCCAACTAGCACCTTTAGGCTACATAATACCTAAACCTACTGAACGTAAAGAAAATACTACAGCGAAATTCTGCAAGAACTTAACATGCAACTTGCAAAGTGTACCTGCCAGATCTTAGTATCAGACTTGTAGACAGCTGTCCCTTCGAAATTCTCAGTTTTTTAAAGAAATGTTTATTTATTATGAAACACTAACAGCAGTTGCAGGCTTTGTAAATACGCCTTCATTTCAAACACAGAAATAACATAGGCAGTTATCATTATTCACCTTATGCGCCGGTGTGTGCAAATAACAGGTTTGAGACTATATTTACGACAAAAGGAGTGTGTGTAGACCAAACCCCCACGCAAATGCGCTCTCTGTTCCGCGTGGCTCTAACAGTGCTTGTGTAAGTAAGCAAGTGCAGTTAGTGTTCATGCATTGCTATGCCTATATCCGGGAGATCCCGACAACTCACCTGGTCAGGAAGAGACCCGCTGCGGTACTCGTCCGCCGCCACCCGGGAACGTGGACGATCCAGGCTCCTCCCACAAACTATGACATCACTGTGTAGCCCCTCCCAAAAGCATTTCACCGCGACCCGAGATTGGTCTGAGGGAATCATGGCAGGCACGCACGTCAATCAATAGCACACGGAGGCCGGACCATCGGGGAAGGGATCCTTTGAGTTACGTGGTGGGGGAGAGGGACAAATAGTGAGAAGCGCTGAAGAATAGAGCCAGCAGCAGCAACGGCAGGTTTTGTGCTGCCTGCAGACGAGAGAGTTGCTCTCTACTGTGTGGAAGCATTCAGCGGACATTGTGAGGCTTGTGAATAGCTCATACAAGCAACCCTTGGCGGTGCAGTCTTAACTTGAGAGCGAGAGAGATAGAGAGAGGGAGGGAACGTGTTAAGGACAAGTAGTGCTGAAGAGGACAAGTCACATGTGTTACTTAGTGTTACCGTGATAGGGCTGCAGCTTTCGTGCGGCCAGTCGTCGGCTTCTTGCCGTACTTGTTGCGTGTGTGGTGGTGGTGGTGGTGGTGACAGCGCCTTGTTTTGTGGCAGTGTTGTTGTATAGGCGGCCAAGCTGTACGCACACAGGGAAGAAGATATGCTCACGATGGAGACGGACTTGAAGGGGGGCAGTCTGCATGCTAACATGCCGCCCCATCACCCGAGTGGGCTGCATGGGCACCCGGTGTCCACGTACGGCGCCTTGGGTTCCATCGTGCACAGTTCGGCGCTGTCGGGCAACGTGGCGTCGGTGGGCAGCGTCATGAGTAGCGTCATGAACCTGGGACAGCCGCCCCCTCAGCAGTTGCACCAGCCGCCCCAGTTAGCACAGCAGCAACAGCAACATCACCCACAGCACCCTTTAGCCCACCCCCAACACACGCACCCCCAGCAACAGCAGTCCCAACAACACGGTCAGCACCCACATACTCATCAGCAACAACAGCAACATGGTCAGGGGGGCGGTGCGGGGGCGGGCGGTGGCGGCCAGCAGCCAGGTGGTATGGCGACGCACCATCACCCGGGCCAGCACCCGCACGGGCCGGCAAACAACAACAGTAACAGCAAGAACCAAAACGTGGACCGCGTTAAGCGACCCATGAACGCCTTCATGGTGTGGTCTCGGGGACAGAGACGCAAGATGGCGCAGGAGAACCCTAAGATGCACAATTCCGAGATCTCGAAACGTTTGGGGGCCGAGTGGAAGCTACTGAGTGAGACGGAGAAGAGACCATTCATTGATGAGGCGAAGAGGCTGCGAGCAGTGCACATGAAGGAACACCCCGACTACAAGTACCGGCCTCGCCGCAAGACGAAGACGCTGCTGAAGAAGGACAAATACCCACTTGGCACGGCCTCTCTGTTACCAGGGTCGGACGCCTCGAGGTCTGCCGCCACAGCCGCCGCTGCCGTGCAGCAGGTTGTGGGGCGGGACATGTACCAGATGCCAAACGGTTACATGCCAAACGGATATATGATGCAACATCACGACCCTTCGGCATACCAGCAGCACCACTCGGCCTACGGCAGCCACATGGCGGCGGCAGCGGGCGGGTACCCTCGCTACGACATGGGCCAGATGCACCCCAACTCCTACATGAACGGCTCCTCATATGGCATGTATTCGACCGGGGGCGCTGGGTCACCCTACCAGTCAGCGACAATGCAGCCAGGCTCTCACAGTCCCAGCGGCAGCAGCATCAAGTCGGAACCCGTCTCCCCGTCCTCCGGAGGACTCCATACACCAACTCCAGGGGCAGGGGCGCCTGGAGGCGGCATCTCCGTCAAGCGTGAGTACGTGGGTGGGAATTCGGGTGGTGCGTCTTCGCAGGGTGACTTGCGTCAAATGATCTCCATGTACCTGCCGACGGATCCGTCCGCGGACCACCACCAGCAGGTCCGGCTCCAACAGATGCAATACCACCAACACACAGGGTCACCGGACCCCATGGGTGGAGGTCCGGGTACAATGCCCCTCACGCACATGTAGGTTCCCGCAGAAGCAGCAGGGTACAGATACTTTGATGACGAACAGGTGCTGAGACACTTCTCGTATCCGTTGCCGTGAACTGTATGACCAAGATTCGCGTTTTCTTCTTTCACTGACTCTAGAAACAAAAGGACGAGCTGCAAAAAGCTAATTCGGTCTGTGGAAGAGATTAATTCTGGGACGAGTTACGTGTTTTCCACTGTCTAGGCCTAACAAGCGGGGGTGGTCAATTCCGAGTGTGCCAAATATTTTAAGTTCACCGCCACCGAGTGTAAGGAACTGACGTTTAGGTAGGGACTATGTTTACTACATTGCGGACGAAATGAGTAATGAATTTTATTCGTGAACCTGTTTTACTTCCTTTTATTATTACTGTTTTCTTGCCTTGGGACTATTACGCATGTGAGAAGACGTGTTGCCCTGCTGCTGCTAACTCGTGTGTGACTTGCTATCGTTACCTGTGTGGTCGCCCTCTCTTCATGCTCAAAGGCATCCTTCACTGGGTTATTAGAAACCAAACTGTACTACAGGTTAAATGTATTATAATTATGTTTATTTTACTTTTAATTTACATTTATTCTCATGGTAGCTTTGTTTGTGTTACCAACATTAAGATCTGTAAGATATTTCTGGAACAAAATATCGCGTTCGCAATTGTGACCATTCGACACACAATATTTCATTATGGATTATTTATGTAATTCCGTGAGATATATATCTTTTTTTCATTTTATAGGCATTTTAGTTTAAATTTTGTTCAGTGACAGATCGGTAATGTGTTTAAGAAACATATTATACTGCTACACTTACGATCATATTTTATGTGACACTAATTTAATAGATTAAACGAATTCATTACCAGAATGCCATACCAGGCAGCTAATTTTCCTGCTTGAAAAGCGGAATAATTTTCATAAACCGATTGGATAAATAACCTAAGCTGTTCATGCACTTGTTGCGTGCTTGCTTCCCATTTACTTTCAATGACAACAGCAAATATGATTCACATCAGTGACCAGTCCCTTCATGCGCTGCTTAATTTCTATCGAATCTCATCAACGTGGACGTTGAATGGATATCTAAATCAATTTCCATAACTCATTACATTATTGAAAAGCTAGATTAGTTTCATTGAAATTGTGATATAAGTTTTAAGAAGTCAAAACCAGGAATCGCTCTGGTTATTCGACCTCACCAATCACAGGAGCTGATAATTGTTTGATATTAACTGAACACGTGTGCCGATATACTTATATATAAGTTTCGTTGAAGTTCGGGGACTTCGCTTTATCTCTCCGTGAGCGTTTTCGAGTTATTGTGTATATTTAATATTCTTATTAATGTAGATCTTATTTTTGCATGGTGGTACTTATAGATCGATATCACCTATCGAATATCCGGCAGTTTTTTCAGTACTTAGAATACAATCCACTTCCAGGATATGTTGCATTTTATTGCTAAAATTATCTCTCCAAATTAGTTACGCGAAATTATTTATGTTGTGTACGTAATAATTATTATTTTCGACTCACAAGACAAAGCCGCTATTCGATATCCATATTTACTTACAAATTTTTGGATGATTGATGTATCCAATACGGGCAAATCACTTCTCGTTACGTGTGAAGATATCTTAGAAGCAAGATTGATTTATTAAAATATAGAACTGAGAGAATTAGATAGGATTATATGTTAGGAAAATTGTGCGCTTGAAATCAAACAAAGGGCATGCAAAGAAGTCACACATTGAAACTGTTCATGATTGAGCGAAGCAAAACGGTAATAAGGCGGGTTTTCCGCATGCTTCATACGCATAAAACAAGTTGGCATAATTATCATCGAAGCATAACTCAGGATACAGTCGCATGCGCATCTGTCATTTGAAAGGAAGTTTCTGTACGATTCATTTTGCATTTCCTCCTTTTTTAAAGCTGAGGTCGTGGTTGAATATTGTAGCAACATTTCATAGTCCCATCTCTAGCTGTTTCGCTTGTTCGCGCTTCGACCAAGTGTACAACACTTCTGTCCTATGAGAGGTTTCAAAGAAACTTGCATAAGTACAGTAAGGTGAGGGAGGCAGGACACCTTTCGTTATATTCCCTGTTGACGCAAGACGTATCAAGGTCCTAGCCTAAATTATTTACCGTAATACAGGAAGTGTGCTGTGTAATGAGCGGTTCTTTTTGCGGACATGTTACATACGTCAGGAGCAAAAAATGTTGGCCTATAAATATTTTAAAATTGTTGTACGTGTTAATTTTCGTGTGGACGCTAATTTCTTCAGCTATTTAAAGCATAAATCTATCGTAATTCAAATTGCTGCATTTTTATTGCGCATGACAATCGCTTTCCTTTGACATTTTTAATAATATCAGCCTATTTTAATATATCTACGATAAATCATTTCCTATGTTATTTATAGGCGTAAACTTCGAAATAACATTTTATAGGTTTTGAGTTCTCTCTCCACCCACACTAAAACTAGTTTTTTCAAATCGGAATACGAAAAGGAACACAACATTTGTATCTGTGCCAGTGTTTCTTTTAAATGATTTGTTTCACCTGAATTAAATGATCGTCAGTGTAGTAAGTATGACACGAAATTAATAAGAACTCTAATACTGAAGTTATCAGTTTTTGTTCCTTTGAATTGATATACATATTTGAGAGTAAAATATTGTGTTTCAAATTCTAGAATGAAATTTGGTAAATATTTCGGAATCATTCCATACTTGTCTCTTTACGAATAATGTCAATTTAAGATATTTTATCCAGCTTTGTACAAAAGAAACCTCCTAACAATTATAATTTTTTATTGTTTTAAATGTACAGTGAGTGTCATATAGTCAGTGGCTGAACATTGTGAAAACGTTTACAATTACCATAGTCTTCATCGGACATTTTTAATGAGAAGAAATTTAAATAAGTCTTATGCAGCCCTCTAACGAGGATGGTACGTATTGTTTCCTGCTGCAGAATATTGTGATCCCTTTCTCATCCCGCACGCGGACCCTTGTTTGTGTTCTTTACATATCCATCATACCTTTTCATCTCATTATCATCCCTTGTTCGCTCACCGGCCCCGTCACGCGTTCAGTCGTCCATTTCTCCTATTTCTTCACACACACACAAACACACACGGTAATATAATAATTATCTATTGATTAAAGAATAACTTTGTAAATAATATTGCACCAAAAATATCTTGTTGTAAATATATTATATAAAACATCAAGGTTTTCACCCCCGTTTGAAAAAATCTGAAATAAATTAAATATTTGAAATGGAATTTTTAATAGTCATGTTTTGTATTTTCTCTTCCCTTCAAGAACGGTCACTGCGTAAGGGATGTTACGGAAGTAAGAGACTCCTTTTGCCTGCACAGATTTGCTACTCCCGTTTCGCAGTGTTAAACACTTCATTTGCATCAAGGTTCTGCTCTTCAATCGAGGCTCATATTCCATTAATTGCTGTCTGGGTGTACAGATTGTGTTTTGCATGAACTGTCAGCAAATATTGTTTACATTGGAGCTAGTGCGATATGCAGGCAAACTAACGATACGGACCTAACTAGCGAAGATTGTCTCTGCTCTCTTTGAAAAACAAGAAAAAAATATGAATCTTCCATACGCAGTCACGTGAGATAAAGTGGCTTGTGTAATATTTCGCCTGTGCAATGGGCCATCTAATGAAGGCTCTAAATACAGATTTGTGTATAGGCTATATAAATTGTTTGTTAAGGCGGTTTGCCGAATTTGTTTAGTCTCTGGTTGAGTAATCAGTGAACAATGAAACGCACGCTTATTGACGACGACGCGCGTGACGTGGTAGCGAATCTGTACGTGCAACATCCCTGGCAATATCCGATTTTGTAGATCCTCCTGACCTGCTGTTCGTGTCCAGAAGTGGGCCCACATCGTTTGCCTGTCATTTCTCTCAACGACAGTTTTAGATTTACTTCCGAATAAGTTATTGTACCCAATTACGCAAGCAAATTATCCTTACGCTCAATACTTTTTTATGGAGACATTTTAAAATATCAGTTAAATATCCGCTACTTTTTACTATACTTAATTCTCTACCTGCTGTAGTCAGAACATGTCTATGTATTATCGTCAATCTTTAATTGATGAAACAGTTATACGTACTTAATTTGAAATCTGTCATCAATATTTTTGTTACTCTGCATACATTTGTATCGAACCGTGTTCATGTCTACTGCACATTGTGTTACAGCAGTAAATAATATCGCGCTCTACGTGCTATAGACGTCCTGTCGTCTCAGCTGCTTGTTTACTTCGCAGTGTGAATTACAATTGTTTATCCGCCAGACCATTCATCGGACGTTGATCTGTTACAAAGCCGAACGTTCTAGGCCTATCAATTACAGTCGGACACGTGGCTGTGACTAAGATTCTTCCTTAAGGTAGATTATAGAGGATTAGAAATTGGTAGTGAGGGCTGGTTAAATTATAATTTCGAGAAAAGGATAGATGTGTATTCCCTAATTTCAGTTTATTAAAATATATTCGGGCAAACTAATAATAAAACCTCATATATTTCATAGACCAGTGAAGATGTACAAATTTATTAGGCATTTGAACATAAGCTCATCGTCGCTAATACAGAGCAAATAATCGATATGTAATTAATAAAGGTTATTATTTCTTATGGCCCTTGTTAAACGTGAATAATTTCATAGTTGCTACAAGTATTGCTTGAGGGATTTCAGATTCTTATAAGAGATGAAAGTAAAGAATTCTTTGAGTTTTACTTTATCATCTGTATAGCACTGCATGATATATTGCAGATAAATATAATTCGTCGAAATTTATTTCATAGCAACACAAATATTAGAAATAATATTTGAACGAAATGCTGAATAAACAAAGTAATTGCTTAAGTTTAAGGTCTTTCATTCTGGTCCGTCACACTAACCAATTAACAATCAAGTTCCTTCCGTCAAATGTGACACTTTTTTAAGTTTTCCACCTCGTCACCACCTGCCTTACATGTTTCTGGGTAATTTTAACTATTTGTAATTATTTTAATTAACTGGAACGTGGCTATCTTGGACAAAGTGAAGTTTTGTGTGTTGGTGATTTCTTTTTCTACTATAAATGCCTCTGATGATGGCTCCGTGGTGAGCCGAAACATGTAAGGCAGGTGCTGACGAGGTGGAAAACTTAAAAAAGTGTCACATTTGACGGAAGGAACTTGATTGTTAAACAGTAATTGCAGTTAATTAATTTGTTTCAGGAATATATACCGCTTCATATAGTATGTAGAAATATGTAATTATCGACATCAAGCTTTCATATAGATTTATTCAAAATTTAAAGTGTTATGATATTAATGCAAGACAGAATGGGACGTACGTCAGTTTTTAATAAGCAATTTGTTACCATTAAGAACGACAATGCCCAATGTGTATTGTTTCCTCATTCACATAGTTATTATAGGCTAACCAAAGTTTTAGTCTTTAATACGTAGGTATTCTGCGAGCGGGTATGTGTAGCAATAATTCTAGGGATTAATTAATTTTTGGGCGTCATTCATCTTTCAGTTTCTGAACGAACACAAAGTAATGCTTCGAAAGTGGGATTTGTGGTGGACAAAGTGGCGCTGGGTCGGGTTTTCTCCGAGTACGTAGGTTTTCCCTGCCAATCTTTTATTTCACCAAATTCTCCATCATCATAATCACCCGGGCGCACGCTACAATAGGCCAATCAGTGGCGGCCGTGCTGAGTGCTTCGGAAACTGGATCTCTTTCTTTCCTCAGGGGAAATGGGGAAGATGATAACAGATCCAGATTTTCTAACAGTTCCTTTGTGTTCTCTCAGAATATTACATCTAGAATCACAGTAATACCAAGAGTAACGTATTCATATTTTCTTCAGGAATCCTTATGTTGGGTAATTCTAGAATTGGATTCAAGGGGGTTCCCCGTTAAAATCCGCGAATTATTCAGGTTATATATTATATTATTATCCTCGGCCTCTCAGATTGATTATTGGAAGCCTTGACCACGCTACAGCCAGCTTTGCACGCTTATCTACGCACCATTCACGTTGATTTTCTCAGCTCTATAATATATGCAGTTAAACGGTTACGTTAAGTAAACTAAGACTCAAGTTTTCGTGGTTATCTAATCGTAATATTTGCACTACATGCATATATATATAGCAGCTGTAATATTACGTGTCCGTGAACATGCACGAGCCACAAGCAAAGTCAAAAGAATAGCTCTCGATCCACTTTAAGAAAGCGGTGTCTATTTTCAGATATTTCTGTTTCTTCCTCCTTTATGTACTACAATTGAAATGCTTGGTACCTTGAATGCTAAAGACGGGATGAGAACTTCTCTCATCTTCAACTATTATGATCTACCTATTTCGGAGAGTTTTAAAACCTTCTGTCGCCATTCGCAAATAAATTAATTTTTGGAGTTTTTAAACAGTGTAAATCGTGAGTTATGCTGTAAATATGCGAACGAAACGCGTTTCTTGATTTTATCTAAAAGGAAATGGTTAAGATGCTTGACACATTAATTAATCATTATGCATTATTAGAAACGTCATAATTTTAGCGTAATTATGCATAAAATTGATGTCTGAAAATTGTCTAAGAATTGTAGTGAATAAAACTAATTCTGAGTAAGTCTGTGTTCGTGTTCCCTTGGTTGGCGAGCTTCTTACTCCACTTTTGCGCATTATCATGTTTACATTATTCCGTTTATTGTCCATACTACAGTCCAATGGACTCAAGTCCGCATTTTCATATATTTATATATTATCCAGTTTAATAGTCCATTAGCCACTAGTCTGCCATCAGGTCTCCAAAGTGGTAGGCCTCTCTTTAGATAATCCCACCAAAATTTGTATATATATTATACGTATTTCAGCATCCCGTTGCATTGATACAACACTCGTCCGCTTGTTTCCTTCTCTAATGCATAAAATTTTATTTTAAAATGTCATTACAATCACATTTAAATTTCCTATAATGTCATTAAAAGAGTCAGAGGTCCTGGTTACAGATCCAGAGGTTCGGGTTCGATTCCCAACGCTATCAAATTTTCTGAGAAATAGCGGGTCTGGAACGGGGTCCACTCAGCCTCGTGAGGAAAATTGAGGAGCTATTTCAAGGAAATAGCGGCTCCGGTCTAGAAAACCGAAATTAACGGCCATGGGGATTCGTTGCGCTGACCACGCGACACCCTCTATCCGCCAGAGTTGGCACCAAATTCGCCGACAAGCGGCGGTCGCTCGGTCGGTATTGTTCACTTGCGGACTGAAACCACGGAGTTTGTGTTTTGTTTTGTCATTAAAAATTTATGTTACTGTTAATTGATTTTGAACCGCCGCACTGTATGAGCCCATGTCAGTATGGACATGTCGTCGTTTGAGAATGTACGCCCACACTTCACTCACGCTGTGTTCCTTTCGTGCCTAACTCTCACTATTCTGGCGTATATCCCATGTATATATGTATTTCTTTGTTCCGCCGTGCGTGCTGCAAGCGCTACCTGTATAATCCTTGATTTGTTGGCTATAATAATAATATGCTAACTTGTGTGTGCACCAGGATTTGAGGTTTTCTTGCGAAACGAAGCATCTGAATGTTGGACGTTGTGTGATTACTCCACTCAGTTCGCTGATATGTGCCCAGCAGTGCGGAAGTTTTACTGTAGAATTCAAAGTACCAGGGAGTCGATTCTTACTTTAGTATCATTTCAACAAAGTGCATGTATTTGGCATCAAAACATAGAAGTTTGTGCCAGTTCTTCATCTTCGTTCAAGTATTGCAGCATTATCCTTTGAAAAACTCCATTGTTTTATCGAGAATATTTTGTCATGTTGCAATCGAATACATCTGCATTTAGCGCTATGAAACAAACAGAAGAAATACCCGTTTAGAGATAAATATGGTCATTTGAGTGATAATTTTCTGATAAAAAGTCATGACTGATACACAAAGCTTCCACATTTCTCATTTAAAAATTGCCTAATTCAAGTAAGGTAGCGAATATCTTATTCAATAAAGCAGAACGTCGTTTCCATGGTAACGATAATTGTCAACCCCCATACTCTTGACCTTATTGCCTCGCGCAATTCTATTCGTGTTAATGCGTGTAGTTTTTAAACACTTAACTACTTAACCCTTTAATTTATTACTTCAGTTACACTGTGAATTTAATTCCTTCTTTCCATATTTTCAGAATCTTGCAGCCATAAGCGACTATTTGCATTCTCTGAAATAATATTATTACAGCGTGTTAAGAGTATG